TTGTATGAATTTGTTCAGAAATGACTTTACATTTCTTTGAAAAGCAGAAGAAAACGATGAATAATTGTGGTAATCATTCATGAATCTCATGATAAAATATAAACATTTTACAAAAATACATAACTTAGCCCAGTTTACAGATATAATTAGCCAATTCCAATAGGATAATAATGATAACAACGTTCAATTTTCTTAAAATGATTAATTTACTTACAAAGCATCCATTCTCTTATTTTGGACAACATCGTCGATACCTCCTTAATATAGAAGTAAACTTTAAATCTCAATTTTAGAAAAAAATGCTATTCCATTCAACCATACAGCTAACGGAAAACAATATCACAACGAAAAGTATCGAATACTCTTCATTATTATTTTTTCCATTAAACAAATATGCACTACTTTTTGTAAGTAATGATGGATAGTGGCTAGTAGTGGAATCCAGAACGTGCGTTTCGTCCCATTTGGGACTCATCAGATGGATGTACCTGCATCTCAGAGAGTTGATGTTCACTCTGGGACTCGAACCCAGTACCTTTTTCTTCAAACGCCATCGCGTTATCCACTCAGTTACTGAGTCCTGATAGCCACTTACTTGTGTAATGGGGTGAATTTAAATTCACTTGTTATTGTTTAGCTTGTATCTTCCGATTGAGTTTTAAAACTGCAATCGATCAGTCTGTTATTGGCATATATGTGCATACTGTACGTATGCCTCAATATTGCCTTAATTCACAAGCTTTTTGTAAGCAATAATGCAGTTTTAAACCTCAATGGAAAGATACAAGCAAAACAATACCATGTGAAATATGCACTACATTGTTAACTAATCTTTTTTTTTTATAAATACATAGATAGTTTTCCTCCCTCAAACACATTTCAATGTTGTTTATTTCTTCATTTATTTTTCGATTTTTGTTTTGTTTAGAATTGAACAACTTTTTTTTTTATATACCGATTTTCCATTGAAATCAACTTTTGAGTCAATAGTTAAGTAATTCATATAATAAAAGCTCATATTTCTTTTAATTGACAGATAGAGAGAGAAAGAGAGTGAGAGGATATTTACCAATAGAACACCATATAGGTTATTGACTTAATATTGTCCGACTACAATAATAATAGTAATAAAATTTGTTTATTATTCTCACTCAATATAGATCAATAGTACATAATGTCAGTGTTACTATTATGTTCAATTATGTTCAAAAAATAGTTTCTATTGTATTCCTAGTACGTTTTACTTAAGTTAATACAATTATAATGGAAACTATTTTTTATTAGATTGATTAAACCATTTAAAGTAGACTTGTTATTAATACTGATGAAACAACCTATTGAACATAATGATAAATTAAAATTTTATTTTAATCATCAGTTCTGTTGGGTTTTTTTTTTGTTCTTTTAAAGAAACTTTAATTAACATAACACATTTAAGAGAATACAAATATAGACATTACTATTTTTAATCACATATTTAACATATGCATCTATCAGGAAGATTGTGTAGAAATTGGTTTCATTTTTAGTTTAAAAGTTTTTTCAATAGTTGTACACCAACATTTATGCATGAACCTACTTTCGAAGTTGGTCTTACAGAGGAACCAACGGATACTAGATGTAATCATGTGTATGGAGTTGTGGATAGACAGTACGAAAGAAAAAACGAATATACAATATTTTTTTATTAGTATAGGGTTGTGTAGATTGTTGAGTTTAAATTGATATCATGAATGGATTAATGTTGGACAATCATTGAAAACCTGGAAACATTGGACGACCATCTTGTCCTAGTGTGAAACTTCTCTGCACTGCGAATACAAGATCCCACACGTGAGACTCGGATCCAGGACTTTTGGTCTCGCGCACGAATGATTAATCCTTAAGCCAATGACCCGGCTGGCCTAACTTCAACCAATCCACTGGCCATGGCCAGTGGAGTTCCACCGTGTCTGTTGTATGGCAGTTACTCATTGAAGACAATGATGGATGGTCGTGCAGCATTCTTCTACCGGTTGATGTCAGCCCATGTAAAAATTAGTCATTTATACACGAATGAGGATATGAACAGATGTAAATTAGTGCAAGTCACTAGGTATCTGATAGGTAGTTAAACTGTTTTTCAAAGTATTCCGCCTATTATTTCAATCTTAGGATTTGACAATCGATCAAATTTCTGTCTTTTGATGTGACAGCTTCATCGAATTTCCGCTCCAACTCTACATCAAATTGCTAAATTCTTAGTTCTAAATAAGAACAAAATCTCATCAATACGCGTTAGTAGTAGTTGCATACAACAAATTATATATATGTCATTAATAAACAATTGTTATAAACTACCTTGTGGTAGTGTTCACAACATATATTATTGTATTATAGTATTACTTCAACTTGGTATAAAAATACACATTCACTTGGTAGCCTTGAAGGCGAACCTTTCTGTATGAAGATTGATTAAACTGTAGCAGTGAAGGTGATCTTCAAACCCAAAACTCAGTACTTCAGTTTAAAATATTTTGATCAAGGAATCAATATTAATAATGGTTTACATTATCCCTTCGTTATTATTCATGATGGAATTTTGATCAGTTTTTATGGGTGTATGTGCATCCTGTGAAGATTGCCTCGATGTAATCATTCTGTCACAAGCTGCCAACAAAAACTGATCAAAATTAAATTGTGAATATCAACAACAAGTGAATTTGAGAACTTATGAATGATAATACCAACATTGTGCCCGTTACATATTGATGGTTATATAAACTCAGTAGCTAAGTGGAGAACATGTTGGGCATTGGAAATGAAAACTACTGGATTCGAGCCCCATTGTGAATATCAACAGTAGGTTGCAGGCACATCCAATTGATAAATAAAACGAAACGCGCTTCATGAATCTCACTAATAACTAAAATCCATCTAGTTGAAAATGGGTCACTATACCTTATGAATTAAAACTTTATTGATAACCAAAATCATAACACTGAACTATTATTATAACCTGTTTTTTTTCTCATAACTATCAACTTTCTCCAATCTTTTTTATTTCCTTAATATTAAAAAATGAAGTTATTCAACTTTATGAGAATAGTTTCAGAAATTATTAGACTAATTGATGTATGTTTAATAAAATCTAACTAAAAACATGCAAATATATGAATTATTTAGTGAACAGAATTGTCTATTCGTTAAACTATATTGATTGCATGATATTTATATTTAAAAGACTCTTTAACATAAAATAGTTACAACGATATAAAATCAAAATGAATAAAAATTATTATACATTTGCATGACAACAAATCTGAACAAACATTCTATGATTAAATTACCAGACAACTACAACTTATAACTGTAATTTACATTCTATTGTGTAACAAAATGTTAGCGGGACATAAACTGGATTACAACATGCTCAATGCACGATTGCTTTGGTGCACGGTGATTGCCTAATTCTTATCCAATCAGCACTAGTCGATACTTGGAGAATACTCTAGAATCTTCTCATGTAAAAACTATAAATATACTAACGTTTTCCCTATTGTGCTTCTTACTTGCTTCTTACTTCCATCTAACTTTGTTATTCGGAATATAATCTCTTTCCTGTTCAACCGTGTTCTGATTTGGGGACTTGTCGAGTGAATCGGTGTCCGAGAATACTAAGTAGTAGGAACAGCTGGGTCATAACCGTAAGAAAGAGGATATAACACAAAATAAGACCATATTAGCAAAGGAAATGATACATCTATTGAATGATCTTCTGAAGAGCATTAAACAGCAATTAGGTAATGTGTGGCAGTATAAAAAAAAAACAATTTATTCGTACTAAAATAACACACAAAGACGAACAATATAGTTTTCAATAAGATTCTCACCAGCCTTTACTCTAACATACAATAATATTTACAAGCATATACGAAATCATTAAACCAGTCAACGTAGTTTATCAGTCAATGATAACAGTGTAATGGATTACATAAATAAACATAATAAATAGAAAGTACAAATTGATAGTGTGATGACAGGTGTACTAGTTGTGGTAAGAATAACAGACGCTTCAAACAATATTTTATAATGAGAAATAGGTCAATGACTTGTAAAATATAGATCCTGAAATAACATTCATTAGAAACTAAAGCATTACCTAATAGGATGTGTTCAGATAATTGGACAGAGTAAAGTATATTTGAAGGAACATTGGGCGAATAAGAACAACCAAAACGTATGGCAAATAATAATAAAATCGTTTATTAAGGCAAATTCTGCGACGGGATGTTACAATTTTATGGAACTATATTGTGAGATTCATGATGCTTGACTATAACCAGCACAAAAATACTATTTTAATAATTGTCATTTTGAATTTTCAAGACCGGGGATCAGGTTCCAGGAAACTCTCATCCCCAGTGATTGATATCTAAGGACACATAATGTGCAAACACTCATGCATCTTTCCGAATATTATTGTCAGTTGGAGGAGGAAAGAATGTTTTACTTTCTTTTATTATCTCTTCGATGGTTACAAGGCTGGGTTCAGAGTTCATTGGCGCCCAGTAGAAGTATTGCATTGACTTCAATCAATGCGTTGAGATTTGATCACCGTAGATAGATTAGGGTAGTAACAAAATTATCCTCAACTTCTGAGTTATTTTGTGTTCACTAAGTAACCACAAAAAGATCAATGTTAATAACTTCAAAGTCACACTAATTGCTCATCAAGCCAACACACGTTAGAATGACATTTCAGAGACAATTTCTTAGATGAATTAATATTTATTTACGATTAATTAAACACATGGCTTTTCTTTCCGTTACAAAAAAACTTTAATTTGTTAGTATTAATACAAGAAGTAAAAGCATCTCATAATGTAAACATGTTTCTAGAATGGTGTCTTGCTGTTAAAGATGTAAAGATACACTGAAAGCTGGAATAATATTATCGCTCAAATACCTCATTAGTAACTCAATAGTAAAGAGAATCAAAACATATAGACATGACTTACGACGATCAGAGAAATCGTCAACAAGTATAATTTCATTTAACAAACTTGGTGGAGATCGATCTATCACTGAATGTACTGAACGTAATAATACTGACCAAGCTTCATTATGAAAACAAATTATAATTGATGCTGAGGGCAGATTACTTCTATATTTATCGACTTTACACCTAGAATATTATTAACAAAGATAAAAGTTATCAGTCATAATGACATCAGAACAAAGACAAAAGAGTAAAGTTACATAAGTAAACAAGTTTGTAAGTAGTGATGGCATACAGCTAAAGGAACAATGAATAGATAAACATGACGTATGTTATTTCATAGGGCCATTTTAAGCCACATAGATTGAGTAATACAATATACTCTGAATATATTTGACTGCTCATTGTACTGATGCTAAAAACAGTAAATAAGAATTGGTGAAGTGATAAACTTTGCCATAACATTAACAAAGTGCCATATTATTCGTCAATAAATTCATAACTTATTTCAGTGCTGGGATTAATCAATACAAAAACATCAATATTTGTCGGTTAAAATGATAACTGGTTCAAAACGATATCGCTAGGAATAGGTAAATGCTTGTCTTCATCTGTTATCTGAAATTTATATATAGGTGTATATGCATATTGGTGTATATACCTATTATATACTCATATACGGGTATAGATTCAAGGGTCAAACAATTCGTAGTGAAAAACACAAAATAATCGAATAATTTCTAAATCATTTAAATTTACCAGTCACGAAATGTATAACTAATTGATCATACGGTATTCGGGTGGAAAATGGTAACACTCACTAAATTATTACAAGCTTTTTATAATCCTATTATTGTCACTATAGTCAGTTATGTTCATTTATCATGTAATTAAGGCAGCTTTTTTCCAATTACCGATAAACAGCAAGGACAACAGGTATTCACTTGAAAACTGTATGATAGTTGTTAAAAGAAAATGATGATTGAACTTGAAAGACTAAATTATAGTCAAAATCAAATTGAAGATCGTCAAACTACTGTTTTAACACATGAATTGTCAGTAAACGGCATTTTTATCATCGTCAGGTTATCCAAATACAATTTGTAATAACTCCAGTGAAGCAGACACTACATTTAGTCAATCCATCTTAAAGCTTATTTTATAAAGAATACCATTAGTTCTCCAAAAGATATTCTTTTACTTTGATCACGAGACAAACTGAATAGCAAACATCCTCACTTAGAAACAGTTAATTATTTGAGAAAATAAAACAGCTGTAGCAAGTGAATAATGCCTGATAAACAGTATAGAAAACAGAGAGTAACAATCTACATACTTAGTACTGAGTTCAGTACATTCAAGCATGTGTTCGTTACTTACTTACTTACGCCTGTTACTCCTAAAGGAGCATAGGCCGCAGACCAGCATTCTCCAACCCACTTTGTCCTGGGCCTTCTTTTCTAATTCCATTCAATTCTTGTTCATTTTTCTCATGTCTATCTCCGTTTACCGGCGTAATGTGTTCTTTGGTCTTCCTCTTCTCGTTTGGCCTTGAGGATTCCATGTGAGGGCTTGCCGTGTGATGCAATTGGGTGCTCTCTCCAATGTGTGTCCTCTCCACTTCCAGCACTCCTTCCTGATTTCTTCCTCCACTGGGATCTGGTTTGTTCTCCCCCACAGTAGGTTGTTGCTAGTAGTGTCTGGCCAACGGATCCGAAGTATTTTGCGTAGACAACTGTTAATAAACACTTGTATCTTCTGGATGATGGCTTTCATAGTTCTCCAGGTTTCCGCGCCATACAGTAGAACTGTGTTGACATTTGTATTGAAAATCCTGACCCTGGTGTTGGTTGACAGTTGTTTTGAGTTCCAGATGTTCTTTAGTTGTAAATATGCTGCTCTTGCTTTACCGACCCGCGCTTTCACATCTGCATCAGATCCACCAATGTTCATCAATGATGCTGCCCAAATATGTAAAGGTTTTTACATCTTCCAAATCTTCTTGGTCAATTGTGACTGGATTGGTGCATGCTGCGTTGTATCAGACAATCTTGTTTTTCCCTTTGTGTATATTGAGACCTACTGCTACACTGGTCGTTTTCTCCTGCATTTGTTGTTCTGATACTTTAAAAGCAATGAGTCGTAATCTAGTGGCCTGCATTTCTAACTTCAGTCAGTATAAAGTGTGATTCTCGTCAAATGTGATTTATTGTTTTGGTTGCAACTATGTTGATTTCATGTCTCAAGGTCTACCATTACTACGTTTATTCAAGAATTTCTCTTCCCAGGTTAACAACAACGTCTTAACCATTAAGTTATTCTTTCACAACATACGTTAAATACATGAGATGATATCATACACATGAAGGAGTAGTGATGACACCTAGTAGTTTAGACTTTCTTAATTCTAATGAAATTCGAAGGTATGATCAACTAGCTTATGCTCGAATGAATTGCAAAAATTATATGCATTCTTTAACGGTTAGTCCACTCTCCTAGCACCCATGATATTCCCAACATTTTGAAGACCTGACTTTGACCCAGGTAGCCAACTAACATTTTCAAATTCACAACAAAATTATAGGTGGTTTAATAACCACAAAAATACCAATCACACGGGATAAAAAAATTAGCAGACAACAGTAAATCCGTTTACATAGAGAAAACAAAATTAATAATCACAATTTCGACGGTTACTTACGCTCCTTCTCTATAGTCTGGCAAATATCGTCTCACACTAATTCGATCGCTAGCATATTGATTATAGGCATTATCTTCCCAACCCTTGTCGAATATTAACTGTTCAGCTGGTGATAAGTCTTCACGATTTACTGTATATGCTTTACCACCTTCACCTTTTATCCAATATATTGTGATTTGATCGTCGGCAAGTCAAAAGTTCATGTCATTCAAATGACAAACCGTATAATAAATAAATAAATAATAATTAATTAATCAGTGTTTAGTCGGATGTTAAGGCGTGAAAAAAAAACAAAGTATTTTTATATTTAACAATATGAAATAGCATTAGCAAGAAAATTAGTGAGAAACAGTAAGTGTTAGTTTAGGAAACTTTGCCATTGAATACTCGAGAGTTTAGACGCAGTAGAACTCTGTACATTAAGGTTTCGCAGTGAATGTGTTACTCTAAGGTAACTAAATCAGGACCAAATGGTTCAATTTTTTCCAAATTTAGCAGCAGCAAACTCCATACTGTCCACAATAAACAACATACTTACCTAGCCACTCGGAGGAAAATCGGTAAACATAAGACAGACAACCATTTAAACTATTGATGCTGACTTAATGTCTACGTGTTATGGGTCCACTGGGAAACCTAGAGTTCTTTTTTCGAACCCCGGTAGTATAGTAAATGCATACTGCTTATGAGTTTCAAACTGGAACAAAATATCTATGAACTGCCTTCGGGTTTTTAATAGTTGTCTCACTAAAATCAGTCTATGATGTAACCTACAAAATTTCAAGTCTCCACAAACCCCCATAGTGAAAACGCTAGAGTTAAGGGTGAATTAGAGCATAGTACTCAACATAAATTTTTTTCATTGAAAATAATTACAGTTTCAAAAGTTCATTCACATGAAAATATTCACTTGTTTACTGGTTTACACAAATGCTGAGATTGCGAACATCAGGCGAAATCGTTAATAGTAATTGGGATATGAAGTAGCGGACAAAAGTCCATATTACAATAAAATACAAAAATATTTATGTAACTGAATCGATACACGTACTTCATCCACAACAAATGCTAATCAAAGTGGAAATATCAAATTAATGTCCTTCTTAAATGAATAACAATCACTACAATTGAATGATATGCAGAAATAATGAAAGTGATCGATTCCGATGGAGTAACAGTTTTATTCAAAAAAGCAATTAATTCAGCAGATAACAATGGTTAGTTTGAAGTGCTTAAAACATCTAAAGTCTTTATAGGAGTCTGTTATTCATGAGCAGTTTAGAATGTGGTATAAATTTGAATTGGCCAACTTTTTTCACTTATCTACCAATCCATCGAATGGTCTTACACAAACATATACGTCAGTAGTCTTTACCGTTCAATGTTAGTAAAAAAAACTATAAAAGAAAAAATTTATCCATACTATTCTACATCGATTATTATTCATGATTTAGCAATAATTGTTCGTGATTTTACTGATGGGTAGATCAATAAAAATAAGTTAAACCCTATAGTAGTTCTAACAAAAAAAAAGTCTTCGTGTGCGTATCCAAGATCACTGTCTCCGGTGCGTTTTGAATTACCTCAGATTAAAATAACTCGAAATTCATAGTTAACAAGCCTCGTAGAACGAAATTCATAGATTAAAAAACGTTTGCTTAGAAAGCCATGTGAGTGAGTTAAAATTAGTAGCAATAACTAAGTTAGAAGATACACTGACCTGGACCTGTTGAGTATTCGTCGCTTTTTGGAGGAGGAGAACTAGGAGATAAGCCTAATTTGGCTATGACCGATAGTTTATCTGAACGACTGCTTTCAACAGGTTCATTACCGCCCATAATTCTAGACTTTTCCTTATAGTCAGGTTGCACAAGCACATTATTGTCCTCATTAACAGGCGGCACAATATCAGGCAAATGATTTTCACCGTGTTCATCATCGACAGATCGGCGTTTCGCATTTTCATGACCTGTTAAAGCAATCAACGAATAATATCAGACTAACGAAGATTCATGTTTGAAATTCAAATAAAAATTTTATCGGAAATGAAAGCTAAGTTCAAAGGCAATAATAATTCTAGATGATTTAACCAACTGTTTCATTCTACAATAAGGGTGCTTCTATCTAACAAGCCTTCATTCATGCTAGACATAACAGTAAATGGTATTGGGATAAACCATTACTCAACATGAAGATCTGCTTAAAATTCCATTAAGATAAACCAGTTTCGATTTATTTGAATAACTCAAGTGTATATCGTTTTTTTCACATCTTTAACGGTTCATATGTTATTCGAATTAAAAAATGATCAGGTGAATTCAGGTCTTCGTCAAACATGTTGATGTGACACCGCTTTATTACGTACAAATATCTGAATGATTGCATTATTATTAATTACTTCTGTCAAGATATATAAATCGTTCCACGAACAATCTGTGAATGTTAGTAATATCAAAACACCCTTAATTTCAGTGGAGATTAATTAATAAAATGAAAGATTTGATCCACATCAAAAGTGAATATAATTTAACTGCTGATCCGTCTCATTAGTTTTGAAAAATTAACAGAATTTCACGACTTAATGCCTATGCTATCACCTTCAATAGTCACTCCCTCAAAAGTATTGCAATTTCAATGAACGAGGAGAAAACGGTAACAATTATCAAACATTAGACAATTATATACGATTCCACATTGCGTAGTTTAGATAATATAGCGATATCCTATGTCTTATGGCTAGTAAAACTGATGTTATCTCTGATCATGAATTCATCTTATACTTCAAATTATCAACGACTATGTATCAATAGTTCGTTCAAAATAATCTACGAAACACTCTTTCTAGAATGGTATACAATTATTTTTTCTGAAAGCTTCACCTTTTGTATCAATCTGAACATCCTTGTAAATTAGTGTGCACTTTGTAATCATTCTTGGGATATGCATATGCATACATATATATATTATAAATAGATACGTAATTGTTTTCATGTGTAACTCGTAACTAAGTTCACGTAGAGATATTGTGGCAACCGTGAAAAACAAAACACTTCTTGTGTGCATTAGACTATTGAACCATGTCTTTACTATTAAGCAAACAATTCACTTGGAGCTGTTAAGTAATTTCACGAGGAATCGATTTTTGATAAATCTATCAAAGGTTTAAGCTTCATTTCCATTAATTGTCACTATGAATTCCGGATTACATTCCATAGTTTGTTTATCAGAATTACTGACTGATGCATGTGAAATACACACTAATATTGTTCTGCCAATTAATTTAATTTTTATAGGAAAACTAATGTAGTGTATTTCTGCTTCTGTATACCACTTCTGAAATATTTTATGAGCACAGTTTCTTAAATTGACTAAATACTTCCGACAGATTCGAAAATTTTTAAATTATAATGTACATATAGGAAATTTACAGAATAGAGTCAGTCCATTTCATAAATTTCCCTCTTAATTTTGTACACAAATGGTTTTATTCTCAAAATTAGTAAGAGCATAGTGAATGAATACAAAATTATTATATAAAATGAATTCACATTGAATTTTCATAAATCCCTTCTAATAAATGATGAAAAAGAATGTACCTCTTGGACTACTTACTTAAATCTTTGTCAATTGGAGGATATGGACGAGCGTTCGGAAAATGAGGTATTTTTAGATTATTCCCAATAAGTGAATCGTTCTTTGGGACTCATCTTGATATTTTAGTTCCTTATGACTTGGTTGACGTGCTAAGATTTGATTATTTTCTACCAATATTTGATCCGGTAAATAGGCTGAATCTGCATGCAACTTACCATGGTCAAGTTTATCTATTTTTATCCACATAATCAATAGGAGTCCAAAACACACTAATCCCAAAGGCAACAGTTTATTTTTTCTCCAGAATAAGTGATGCAAAACCCTTCTGCGCATGCTGTTCTAAAGGATAATCGTGTCAGTGGATCAACGAAGCAGTGTCCTCTGAAACCACCTGATATAAAGCGAAATGCAACAGAAACAGTGAAAAAGCAGTGGAAGCTAGATAAAGAAGCTACCTATTCAAGTAAATATTTAATGAATTTTAAATACTACAAATAGGGTATTTTTAAATTCTGCTTAAAAGTGATGGAAGGTAACTTAATCGATGCATACGAAAAGATTAGAATATAAAGCCAATCAATGCATTATTATATGGTGGCTGTGGAGTACGTCATAATTTTTATGAAGTTCAAGAAGTAATAGCAAAACATGATTGAAGTAATCAAGAAACATAGTTTTCATTTGTCTGTAGCTGTACAGATCTATTCATTTTTCGCCTTCCACCAAATAGTGAGTTTTACCATCATTTCATACTGATTATTTTCAGAGTTTATTGTTAATTTTGAACTGTACGATTTGTTATTCTCACTCCTACCAAACCATGGTTTTGGTAATGTAATTGCGTTTCTGTTCAACCATGTCCTGACTCGGGAATTAATCGAGTAATGTGAAGTGTCGAAGGAGTATTAAGCAATAAAAATAGCTCGGTCGTAATAAGAGATATCTTAACAGCAAGCGACGAGTCGTTAGAGATGTAATTAAAAAATAAAAGCTACTGATGAACATCTATCAGGTGTACTTTTGTCCTAATTATTCAAATAACCAACATAACCTGTTTACCAAGGACAAGTCCAAGTAACCGTCTTTAACTGATGAATTTACGAAATTTGTCTACGTGCCGAGTTAGCATGATGCCTTATTATAAATAAACTAGATGTTTCGTGTCACTGAAATACTCTACAAAAATTTCGAAATAATCCTCAAACTTTTGATTCGAAATTTCGAACTTACAGGAAAGAAGAGCATGTATACATTGTTATGACTAAGGTTGATTTTGACAAATTTCATCTACGGTTTCAGTCATGAACTCCAATTACTTTGTGAACTTCAAATATGAAGTCTGCACCTCTTGAAATGGCTCAGTCAAGCAACCGTTGAATACGTGGACTGATTTCTTTTTTAGGTCCCAGCACACTTAACTATTTAAAACTTAATTCTACGTTTGACGACGAACTGTGAGTTTAGGTTTATTTGGTGTATGTTTTTTGAATGAGTGCAGAAGCGTTAATAAATAACAGTTCTGCCTCAAGGACAAGTGTCGAAACTTTCATATGTCAGAGAACCTCTTATAGCCAACATATAATACTCGAGAAAGTTTATTACAACTTCAGGAAAACACGACCCACTCGCCGGTGAGAATCTGTGTGTATATCATTGCTTGCTTCCTAACCACTGAAATACAAGACATTTTAATCAACGGAATGTCCGAGATATGCTATAAGTATGACCATTGCCATCAACAACCAAAAATATGGTATCTGACTGAAAAATGGTAACAACAGAGATATACCGCAATTTGCGACACAAAAAATTGAATAATACCGATAGTGAGTCTTTCTAGAAATTTTACCCGAAGAACAAGTAAAATCATAATAGTTAGAATGATCAATGCGCTCGATTGTGGATAGTAGATAGCGAAAATACTTCTCTGTTCACCCAGAAGATGAGACGAACACTTTAGGTGCAAGGAACAGCTAGAATAAATGAGAGCTTACAGCTAGTAATAAATCAAGACTTAAGAATCAGGATCAGTAATGAATGCCTACGTAAGCATTGTCTCGTACGAGACACCTTATCCGGAGCATCTGGTCAAAAATGCCACTTGATGGAACACGTGCTCTTCAGTAGGACTGAAACATTCATTTCTGATGGGAATATAGCAGAATCAACCTTGTAACCTGTGTCATATGACACATGTTTCAATAGTTCCGACTGCCAGACACATAATTGCCGAAATAAGTGTCAAAAACTTTTAGAAAAAGGTACATAACAATAATTGGATAATATATCTGATTCTGTGGACTGATTAATGTGCAACAAATGACTAAACTTACGACCCACTAACACCAGCGCCCTCAAGTTATGTGGGACGAATTGTGCGCTGCCTTTACAAGGTCATAGGGTCACTTAATATAAAAACGGCTAATGGGTTAAACACTATAGTTCAAGTAGTGGATGGAAGAGAGGACACCATCGCCCAACGAGTCACCGTATGTAGTATCGGTGGATCACCTATAATTTTATGTAGAAACCTACGCATAAATAATAGTAGATTGTAATAAAACATTGAATTACATTCAGATTAGATTCAGATTTATGTAGTAAGGACAGAAGCCCTACAGTCTGTGTCATTTCTTTACAAGTATGCTTCTGTGAGTGTACATTTTTCTCCTGAGAGAGTCAACTGAAGGCTCAGAGACCACTACTTTGTGTAATATGTTCCAAGAACTGATGACTTGGTGTGAAAACCTGTATGCCACGGATATTTTGTCCATTCTTGGCTTAGAGCTGGCAGTCTGAACGCGATTTCAATTATAGTTCTCACTAAGGTACTTGGCAGTGTCAAGATTTTCCAGATTCAGTCTATTTGTTGACACCTTATCAAATGCTTTGCTAAAATCTGCATAGAGAACATACACTGATTTTCCATTGTCTTGAGACTTTATCTGTTGCTTCCTTACTATAAATAGGTTTGTTATGCAAAATAAACCTTTTCTAAAACTATGTTGTTTGCTGCTTAACAAGTTGTTGGTTCCCAGGAATATCATCATGGTCTTTTTGAATACTGCTTCCAGTATTTTAACTACGACCCTGGTGAGGCTGACACGTTTGTAGTTCGATGGAAGTTGTCTTGGTTCTGTTTTATGTATTGGAGTGACGATTGCATCCGTCCAGTCAGTATATAGCTCACCTTGGTCAAGTGACATATCGAATACTACACATTCCGAACTGTGGTATACTACAACTAATTCAATAATACGTCGTCTACATTTCGGCCTGTAGCACACCAGTTCACATTTCCATAAATAGTGCGCCACTGCTCAGCAACAGGTGTGGTGAAATTGCTTTTTATGTATGGGATAACTACACCTTCCCTTACTGTTTAGTCAATCAGCCCTTCTGGATAAAAAGCCAGTCAACTGAATTTCATTATCAAACACTTCTGATATTACCATGTTTCTGAGACAGCAATGGCATTCGAGTTTTCGATATTCACCGTTGTCTTGGGCTCCGCCACCTTATTCAGCAGGCTGCGAGAATTGTATAGCACACCTTTAATTCTGTAGAGAACTTTCCCTTACTACTCACCTCTTCGTATGATCAATCGATCCATGATCCTTACAAAAATATATTCCGGATCTAGTCAGTTTGCGTGAGTTTTCCAGTATCATGTTTTTTCTTCTGCCGACGCAAAGGTGACATAAAGAGGTGGTTTTTCTGAGTACTTTCAAGATCCACTTTTTGTCCTATAGCATAAGACTTACGGATGTTAACTGTTGAAACTGTCTCTGGAAGTACTTTGCTTATTAAGCACTTAATGTGGCTGAGGTTGTGTTCAAGTTTAGTTGTTGGCCTCATTTTGGAAGATCTTTTTAACTCATGAAAAATGACTGACCTGCCAGCGTGGCCCCGTTTTAACACGCTGTGGAATTTTAATCCACGAAATCTTCCTTGCCCTGCAATCCGATTTGTCGTCAAATGCAGAGGCCTCAATCCATTCCCTTATTTCCCTTTTTCTGGATGTAACTGTAAGTCAATAATTTACCTTATTATGTCTCTTGATCACACCATCTACATCGTGCAAACTATGCCCCCCATAGTCTGTTCTGAGTTGATATGTGAATCCGAAACTGAAACCTCACATTCACATACCTTGGTGCTGCCTATAATTTCTGTCTTCTCAGCGTCCTTTTTCTTCCACCTTGTAATAATGCCTGCATCGGTGTTATCCGCTTCCCTAATGGGGCCCACCTTTATAGTCTCTTTCAAATCCAGAGCTGGGCTTACGATAACGCTCTTTATTTCCTCGAAAGCTGAATTTCGTTCATTTACTTACTTCCTTACGCCCGTTACTCCATGCGGGGGGGGCGCAGACCACTCAAAATCACTCTCCATCCAACCCTGTCCTGGGCAATCCCCTCCGGTTCTTTTCAGTCGCTAAGCATTCTTTTTATGTGCTTTCGTCTCTTGACGTAGTGTGTCCTTAGGCATCTCTCTTTTCTGCTTTCCTTCCGAATTCCAAGTTAATGCTGGCTTCGAGATGCAGTTTGGTGACTTCCGTCATGTATGTTCTATCCACTTCCAACATCGTTTCTCGATTTCCGCTTCAGCTGGAAGCTGGTTTGTGCTTTCTCACAGTAGGCTGTTACTGGTGGTATCCGGCCAACTGGCGTTGAGTATTTTACGTTGATAACTAGACAATTCGCTAATATACGAAGCCTACTCAAGACCCTATAATACCTGAAAAAAACTAATACATAAAAAAACGAAAGGGGCTCTAATAGCTTCGATAATAAAAGGAAGATAGCCAATTGTATATCACAACACTGTTTCTAGCGCTATATTTTATTTTATAATCACACATAATCCCATACTCTCAGCTCCTTTCCGAATCGCCTCCATTTGTCAGTTGTATGTCCACTCACACCTTGTTAACACTTATTTTCTTTAACCTATTAAAATGCTCTTTCTTAACAAATACCTTAATAAAGGAAAATTAGACTGAGTAATCATACCTTAAGCATTCCTTCAAGAATATTGGCTACTCTGCCTCTCGTGTTTCCTTTTACTTCCTCCCTCTTTCAGCCCCCTTGAGATATGGAGCGGGTGACTTCATCCTGCACCATCCTCAAAGCCTTGGACATTCCAAAGGGACATAAGGTTGCGATTTCTAGAAGCTCATACCTTCAATGGACCTATCCTTGACCATCAGTCGCACATTCGCAACGCAACTTTCATGAAGCGCG